CAGGACTCCACCACCCGCACGGGCTGTACCATCAAAGTGGACTTCAATACGTCCCTCACCCTGTGGTGCGTGTCCAGGTCCTGCCCGGAGCCCGAGTACGTGTGGGCCTTCAACGGGCGGGCCCTTAAGAATGGCCAAGACCACCTCAATATCAGCAGCATGACGGCGGCCCACGAGGGCACGTACACGTGCATTGCAAAGAACGCCAAGACCCTACTGTCGGGTTCTGCCTCCGTGGTGGTCAAGCTCTCTGGTGAGTGACCCCAGCCTGAGCACCACGCCCTCCCCATGGACCCTCCCCCTTAAGGCTGCGAAGGTTAGACTTCCATTTGAAGAAGTGGGTGGATTCTCAGTCTCTTCGTGGGTTGCTTTACCCAGGTCCGAAGGGAGACTGCCCATGCCCTGTCACTCGGGAAACAAGTGACACACACAACTGTCTTCCTGGAGGGGGGACAATACGAGAAACGGGTCACATGTCCCACATGGTGGGGTGGCAGAGTGGCAGGTGTCACTTCCCGCGGGTGCCCCTGTTCTAAATTCAGTCACCAGCTGCTTCGGGGCTTGAGACACCCCCGGCCACACGGACAGCTGAAGTCTTGTGCAGCCAACCAGAATACCCAGTTATCTGGCCTGGATGACCAGCACACACACATACGCACGATTGGAAAATCACAGCCAACTGTCAGCAAATGGAGACACGTAGCTGGGAAGGCCTGTCTTCTTGCCAGTGTCCTAAAACAACCCAGGAGCTGGGGGCCGTGCAGACAGCTGGCGTTTTCAGAACCACTGGGATCCTCAGGGGACATTTCTCATCCGCTGGGGATGGTGGCTTTGAACATTAGGGCCTCATTCATTCCACCTCGGTTCCTTCCCAAGTGGCCGTCGTCCTCTGGGGACAGTGGGAACAGTCCTTCCCTCTGTCCCTCCCTCCCACTGACAGGCTGGGTCTCATCCAAAGGGTGGATACAATGGCATTCCCAGAGGTAAGTGTGCCTGCTGCCCCACTCCCCGAGGCCTTGGCAGCTGGTCTTGGCAGGAGATGGGGGGTAGACCAGATGACCTCAGGTGCCAAGACCTGCCTGTGCAGGCCAACATGGGGGGCATCCTAGGTGTGCAGGTATGTGCAGGGAGCAGACACAGTGCCCCCCAAGAGCCGCTAGGACTATCAGCAACTCTGTGGCAGGTGCTGGGAGAGAGACGGAAGAAAGGGAGACACCAGCCTTCCCCACCTAGGGGAGACACTAATCTGATGGAGGAGACAGGGTCTCTGCCCTTGGTCGTGGTCCTGAAACAAGAAAGCACGGCTCTGCTATTCAAGGAGCTGCCAGACAAATTGCAGAGGCAATGCCTCTTCCTCCGTGGGCCTCCAAGCAGCAGGGCGAGACATGACACCCATCCTCAGTGAGCTTCCAGTCGGGTGGAGGAGACACAGTCTGCGCTTGGGGGGAATTTCCATTCTGATGGGGAGACTTCATCTCAGGGAGACATGCCCCTGTGTTTTGAGAATTCCTAGTCTGAGGGGGGAGACACAGTTCCCACTTTTGCAGTGCTCCCAGTCTGATGGGGGAGTACAAGCCCCCCACTTTCTAGGAATTTCTAGTCTGAAGGAATAGACGTTCCCCCTCAGCTTCTGGGGTCCTCAGCTTGATGAGTAAGACCCAGCAACAATCTGGAATTTCTCAATCTGATGGAGGAGACTGAGACCCACCTTGTAGGAATTTTCAATCTGATGGAGGAGACATGGCCTTCCACCCACTAGAATCTTTCAATCTGAGGGGGGAGCTATAGGCCCCCAATTCTAGGGGTTCCCTGTCTGACGGAAGAGTCACAACCTGGGGGACACAACTCCCTCATCTGATGGAGAAGACATAGCCCCCAAATTCTGGAGTTTCCAATCTGGCAGAGGAGACACGGCCCCTACATTTTGGAAATTTCCAATCTGATGGAGGAGACATAACCTGACCCTCCAGGGTCTTCCAGTGTGAGGAGAGAGACAGAAGTTCACAGTCTGATAGAGGAGGCCCAGAACCCACCCCCACCACCCCACAAGGCGCCTCCTTCCTCAGTCTCCTTCCCAGCACCCCACATGGGAAGTGCCAGCCGGCTGGGGGGAGGCCCAGGTGAGCCGGCCAGGGCGGGAGGGGGATGCCAGCCAGACACAAGACCCACTGACCCGCCCCCTCGCTCTGTCCCCAGCTGCCGCGGTCGCCATGATGATCGTGCCCGTGCCGGCCAAGCCGACGGAGGGGCAGGACGTGACGCTGACGGTGCAGGGCTACCCCAAGGACCTGCTGGTCTACGCCTGGTACCGCGGGCCTGCCTCCGAGCCCAACCGGCTGCTCAGTCAGCTGCCGTCCGGGAACTGGATCGCAGGCCCCGCGCACACGGGCCGGGAGGTGGGCTACGCCAACTGCTCGCTGCTGGTGCAGAAGCTGAATCTCACCGACGCCGGCCGCTACACGCTCAAGACCGTGACGCTGCAGGGCAAGACGGAGACGCTGGAAGTGGAGCTGCAGGTGGCCCGTGAGTGTGTGGGGTGGGGGCCGGGGGCTCCCAGGAGGGACCTTGGACTCCTGCACAGACCAGAGGTGGTGATGACTCCCCCAGCAGACTGAAGGAAGCAGTCTCGGAGGTCCCCAGATGGAGGTCCCCGCCCCTTCTCTCTTCTATGAGAAAGACACCAGACTGGAAGTTTTAAAAGAGAAGGCATAATCTGGGGGTCTTTTTCCTGAAGACCTGTAGACCTGGGTTGATGTTGGGACTTTCCCTCCCCTACCAGACTGGAGGTATAGTGTTAAGAGTGAGTCAAGCCTCCCTGCTGAGACTGGGAGACCCTAGGCAATGGAAGTCATGGCTCCTCCTCCTTTCTATGATGGTGAGAGTGAGGGGAAAATGTCTACCATCACAGAGCTTATCTCTCAAACTGAAATAAGGATGATCTCCTCCATTAAGATGGAGGCTTCTAGATGTGGGAATTGTGTCTCCTCCATCAGACTGGGAGTTCTCAGATGTTGGGGACCGTGTCCCCCCATCAGACTGGGAGCTCTCAGAGTCAGGGAACAGATCTTCTCCATCAGACTGGGAGCTCCCAGAGTCAGGGACCAGGTCTCCTCCATCAGACTGGGAGCTCCCGGAGTCAGGGATCATGTCTCCTCCATCAGACTGGGAGCTCCCAGAGTCAGGGACCATTTGTCCTCCATCAGACTGGGAGCTCCCAGAGTCAGGGACCAGGTCTCCTCCATCAGACTGGGAGCTCCCAGAGTCAAGGACCAGGTCTCCTCCATCAGACTGGGAGCTCCCGGAGTCAGGGATCATGTCTCCTCCATCAGACTGGGAGCTCCCAGAGTCAGGGACCATTTGTCCTCCATCAGACTTGGAACTCCCAGAGTCAGGGACCAGGTCTCCTCCATCAGACTGGGAGCTCCCGGAGTCAGGGACCAGGTCTCCTCCATCAGACTGGGAGCTCCCGGAGTCAGGGACCAGGTCTCCTCCATCAGACTGGGAGCTCCCAGAGTCAGGGACCATTTGTCCTCCATCAGACTTGGAACTCCCAGAGTCAGGGACCAGGTCTCCTCCATCAGACTGGGAGCTCCCGGAGTCAGGGACCAGGTCTCCTCCATCAGACTGGGAGCTCCCAGAGTCAGGGACCAGGTCTCCTCCATCAGACTGGGAGCTCCCAGAGTCAGGGACCAGGTCTCCTCCATCAGACTGGGAGCTCCCAGAGTCAGGGACCCCAGGCCTCCTCCATCAGACTGGGCATCCCAGAGGTCGAGGCTATGTCCTTGCAGCAGGACCAGGTTTCACCTTCGGTCCCAGACACTTGGGACCAGCTTATTCCCCACGTCTGGAGTCCTGCCTCCCCCATCAGACCAAGTCCTCTTCAGAAGCCACCTCCCTGAGTCAGGGTGGTGTCTCCTCCTCAGACTGGGAGCTTCCAGGATCGGGGCCCAACCCTGCCAGACACCATCCTTCCTCCACTCCCTGACCAGACCCCAGTTCTCAGGGCCGTCGGGGGCGCAGGGGCAGGGGCAGCAGGCCGCCCAGCAGAGCCGCGAGGGTCCTTTTCACCCATTCTCTCTTCTCACAGTCAGCCTCCCTCCCTCGCACGAGGACCAACGCTACCCTTCCGAACCTGAACCTGGCACAGGCTGAGCGTGGGGCGGGCGGGGCCCCCGGGAGACCCGTGGGGGGCAGGGAGCAGGAGGGGTGGGGGCGCCGGGGACCTGGTCCTCCCCCGCCTGACGGCCTCCACGGCCCCTTGCCCCATCTTGCCCACAGCCCTGGAGTAGCAGCCTGGGCCTGGAGACCTCCGGACCCGCCTCCCACCTTCTCCCCAGAGTGGAGGACCGCTCGCCTCCAGCAGGGATGCCGGACCGTGGTCCTGCCCTCCTGCTTCCGCCCTAGAGTTAGAGCCGACCGGGCCCTATGCCTTCGCCAAGCTCTCGGAGGGCCACCGCGGCTATAAACGTCCTGGTTAACGCACGTGTGTGTCAGCCTCTCCTTCCACCGCTGCCCGCCCCGCCGTCTCCAGGCGCCCACACCTGCTTCCTCTCCTGCCCAAGCTCGTGCTCAACCTGGGGGTGCGTGCACAGAGGGAACCCCGAGTCACAGCACGCCACACCCCGCGGCTGGATGGCAGGGCCTCGGGCCCTTCCCGGGCTCCCCAGGTTATCTCTGAGGGTCCTGCAAAGCTGTCTGTGCTCAGGAAATGACCACATTTCTCAAGAAGAGTTCCAGCACCTTCTGGTCCTCACCCATTTAATCAAAGAACACGCTTTCATCATCCTGGGATTCCCCACCCCTGTCTCTCTCAAACATCACCTGCCCTACCCTAGACATCTCTCCAGCCACGAAAACAGGTCCTGTGGGGAGAAAATGATTGCAAATGCGTCTGAGGTAGGGATGAGGGGTGGAGGGCTGGGGAGTGGGAGCCAGAATGTGTGTCTTCCAAGTATTCTCACTCGCAGAGTGTGAACCGCAGGCCCCACCCAGCCAACATGCCCCACTGAAGAAAAGTTCCTGAGTGTTGGTCAGTGGTGACAGCAGGGCCCAGGCTTGAGGTAGAAAGAGAGGTCTGGTCAGGGTAGGGGAAGGATCATCTGGGGATGACCATTTTGTGATGGGACAGGGGTGGGTGAAAGACCACCAGAATGAGCCACACATTCTTGATCGTAATCCTGAATTTGCCATGGATTCCTTAGAGCCTCAGTTTGTCCATCAGGAAAAAGGTGTGAACTTGAGACAGGCCAATCAGAGCTTTCCAGATCATTTTCAAAAGTCTCAGAGTCCTTTCTTCAAATGCAAGTTTACATGGCACGTCAATGTATTACTATTTTTTCTTTTTTTACTTTAAACTTTTTGTACAGACAGGGTCTCACTATGTTGCCCAGGTTGGTCTCAGACTTCTACCGTCAAGCAATCTTCCCACCTCAGCCTCCTAAAGCACTAGGATTACAGGCATGAGCCACCACATCCAGCTTCAATATAGTATTCAAAATGACAACACGGCTGAGTGTGGTGGTTCACACTTGTCATCTTCACACTTTGGAAGACCAAGGCGGGAGGATTGTTTGAGCCTAGGAGTTCAAGACCAACCTAGGCAGCATAGCAAGACATTGTCTCAGCAAAAAAATAAAAATCAAAGAATGAGCTGAGCGTGATGGCATGTGCCTGTAGTCTCAGTTACTCAGGAGGCTGAGGCAAGAGGGTAGGCTTGAGCCCAGGCGATCAAGGTTGCAGTGAGCTATGATCACACACTGCACTCCAGGCTGGGTGACAGAGCAAGACCTTGCATCTTAAAAAAAAAAAAAAAAAGAAAAGTCAAAGCCGGGTGTGGTAACTCACTCCTGTAATCCCAGCACTTTGGGAGGCTGAGGCGAGACAATTGCCTGAGCCCGCGGGTTCGAGACCATCCTGGGCAACATGGTGAGACCTCGTCTCTACGATCAATCAAAAAACTAGCTAGGCGGGGTGGTGCACGCCTGTGGCTCCAGCTACTTGGAAGGCTGAGGGGGAAGGATCGCCTGAGCCCGGCAGGCCGAGACCTGAGCGGCGTGCCACACTGCACGCCAGCCGGGGCAGCAGAGTGAGACTCCGACTCAAAAATAAAAAATAAAAATAAGCGAGTAAAAAGTCAAAGAGAAACTGATTTGATTGAAGCAGACGGTGCTGGGTAAATATATCTGAGGGGGAGGGGTGTGTTGCCTGCTCCCATTCCTCTCCCCTCCCCTCTTCCAAGACACAGGCACTGCCGCCCTCCGCAGAAGCTGGAAGAGTCAGGGACTCACATTCCCAGACTGCCTTGCAGCTACAGGGAGCCATGTGACCAATTCGGCCGTGAGCAAGGAGTGAACTGAAGCCTTGTCCGCTGACTCTGTCCCACTTGCAGAGACACCAACACCACGGGCAGCTGTGACCTAAATGAGGGGTCTCCAACGTGGGTTTTCCAGCTAGGACGTTGAGCCCATGCTGTTAACCCCAACACTATCCCGCCCAGAAAAAGGAAATGGTATCCCTCTTCCCACCCCCATCCCCACCCGAGTTCACGTAAGAGTCAGTGACATGTAATATATGAGTCTAGGCATAGCAGTTACAATTTCTCTTCAGTGGCTAGTAGGAGTGATCAGAAATAATACAATTAGACAGAGGAGACTAATATATAAGATAAAAGAGAAACTGGATTGTGTAGGGAGTAGCTTACGTGGATAGAGAATTATTTTTCTCACGCATAAAAAACACCCAGGTCACGCATAAAAAACACCCAGGTCGGGCGTGGTGGATCATGCCTGCAAGTCCCAGCACTTTGGAAGGCCGAGGCAGGAGGATTGCTTGAGGACAGGAGTTTGAGACCAGCCTGGGTCACACAGCAAGACCTCATCTCTACAAAAATAAGTAAAATTAGCCAGGCATGGTAGCGCCTGTAGCCCCAGCTACTCAGGAGCTGAGGCAGAGGAATCGCCTGAGCCGGGCAGGTCAAGATTGCAGTGAACTGTGGTTATGCCACTGCATTCCAGTCGGGGCAACAGAGTGAGACCCCACCTCAAAAAGCACACAGAAACAACAGCAAAAAAACACCCAGAAGCAAATTGCTCAGAGCCAGAATGGAGGCCCCATGCTGTCATCAGAGACACACCTCTTTCTATTTTTCTATTCCATCATCCTCAGCTTGGGGCTTTCATTTTCCCCATCACCTCATGGCTCAAGATACCTGCTGGAGCTGCAGCTGTCTCAACCATGCCCCAGACAAGAAGCAGAAAGGAAAGGGATGGACCCAGTCCAGTGGTTCATGCCTGTAATCCCAGCACTTTGGGAGGCCGAGGTGGGAGGATCGTGGGAACCCAGGATTCAAGACCAGCCTGGGCACCATCACGAGACCTCATCTCTACAAAAAATACAATAAGATAGTCAACTGGGCGTGGTGGAGGCCGCTGTAGTCCCAGCTACTGAAGAGGCTGAGGCAGAAGGATCGTCGGAGCCCAGAAGGTTGAGAGATTAAGACTGCTGTGCGCCCTGACTGTGCCACTGCACTCCAGCCTGGGCAACAGTGAGATTCTGACTCAAAATGAAAGAGAAAAAGAAGGAGTGGGGAGGGGGAAGGGAAGACATCATGGAGGGAGAGAAAAGGGGAGGGGGAGGGGAAGAGAAGGAAGAAAAGGGGAGAGAGGGCATACGATGGCCCCAAGCCAGTCTATGGACTGTGCCCTTTTTAAGGCAAGTTCCCCAAAGTCTGGGCCCACAACTCCTGCTTACATCTGATTGGCCAGCGCTCAGTCATATGACCACCCTAGCTGCAAGGGAGGCTGGGAAATGTAGTCTTTCCCTTGGACACGTTGCTGCCCCAAATAACATCAGGATTCTGGTGTTTAGGGAGGCAGAGAGAATGGACCCCGCATGGGCAGCTGCCAGGCTCGGCGGTGCCAGACCTGGGAACATCCACCCCCCCCAGCTGGGCCAAATGGCCATTCTCACCTAAGCCCCAGGGGTGAGAGTCACAGCCCCACTGGCAGGGGTTTGGGCAGGACTGGGGAGCTGCTGATGGAAGCTGGGGCTGTGGGCAGTCCGTGTAGAATGAGGCCACCAGGAGGGGTGGAGGCAACTCGGGTTTCTGGGTCAAGCCAGATCCATGTCCTCCGGGCGTGGAGGCTCAAATGTCCCCAGGACCCAGTCTTCCACCCCTCCAGGCATCCTCGACTGAATCCTCTCAAGCAGTGAAACCCCTTCCTGAAAAGTCTAGGGAACAACAACAATAACCACCAAATAATAATAGCTCCTGTATCTGAGCAGCCTTTTGGTCAGGCATGGTCTCGGTGAATCCTACAACAGCTCTTAAGGGTAGTCACTGCCAGTGCCCTCGTTTTACAGGTGAGAAATCAGAGGCATGGAGAGCTGAACACCTTGCTCCAGGCTCCAAAGTTCCCAGAGCCTCCTGGGTGGAGAGAGGCTGGTGAGAAGTCCTCTTCATTTTTCGGGGGGCAGGGGAGTCCGGGGCACATCTCTGAGCTCAAATGAAGCCACCTTTAGCTGTGGGATCTTGAATACATTGCTTTTCCTCTTTTTTTTTTTTTTTTTTGTTTAGTTGAGGTCTCGTTCTGTCACCCAGGCCAGAGTGCAGTGGCACAATCCCAGCTCACTGCAGCCTCCACCTCCTGGGTTCGGGCTATCCTCCCACCTCAGCCTCCCGAGTGGTTGGAACTACAGGCGTGTGCCACCTCACCTGGCTACTTTTTTAAATTTTTTATAGAGATGAGGTCTCACTATGTTGTCCAGGCTGGTCTCGAACTCCTGAGCTCAAGCAATCCTCCCACCTCAGTCTCCCAAAGTGCTGGGATTATAGGCATGAGCCACTGCGTCCAGTCCCTCATTGTTAAATGGGGCTAATAATAGTACCCACCTCCTAGGAGTGTTGAAAAGATTAAATGAGTTAATACAAGTAAAGAACATGACTCATGGACTGGATAAAGGCTTCTGCCTCACAATTAGGTGTCAGCTTTTGGTAAAAGCCAGATGGAAAAGCCAAAGATAATATTTTTCTGCAACGCCTTCTTCCTGGGAGATGTCACACATTCTGCTGCACAGGCTTGTCTTTATCTTTATGTAAGATATGATGTTCTTGAAAGTGTAATTACTGGCCCTGCATGGTGTTTCATGTCCATAATCTCAGCATTTTGGGAGGCCGAGATGGGAGGATTGCCTGAGCCCACGGGTCTGAGACCAGCCTGGGCAGCCTGGGGAGACTTCATCTCTACAATAAATCAAAAAATTAGCTGGGCGTGGTGGTGCGTACCTGTAATTCCAGCTACTTGGTAGGCTGAGGTAGAAGGATTGCCTGAGCCCAGCTGGTTGAGGCTGCTGTGGCCGTGAGTATGTCACTGCACTCCAGCCTGGGCAGCAGAGTGAGACTGACTCAAAAAAAAAAAAAAAAAGAGAGAAGGAGAAATTGTGATTACTGGGAATGGCTTACAAGAAAAAAATAATAGGC